AGTTTGAGAAGCACTTCACTTCGCAACCGATGAACCATTTTGACGGCCCAAATTACCTTCCTACCGCCGTGTGTTGGCAGGGTCCAATATTGGACAGTTTGATGTTTATAAAGTACCATCAGTTAAAATTGTATTTTCGAGCTTTATCTCTATTCATTCTTAGGTGTTTCTTAGTAGATTATCATGTTGATGTACGCTGATTCAAAGAGTAAATGGTATTAACATTGAGCTGTCCATAGTTGGGGGTTGTTGAACTTGTGGTACTTGCACAACATTTCATGTGAGTACCAAAGTAGCCATGTAATCACAAAATAGCTTTAGGTGTGGGTTCAGAGCGGGACAATGTCGCTGAGATAATTGGGTATTCAGATGAAACTATTACTTTTAAAAACTAATCCTGGTTGTATCTCTTTTTCGTTTGCATGTAACACTGTTTGATATTACTAACCGCACCGAGCCTTCATTCCGGGTGGTGAGCGAACCTGAAGAAGAAGTAGATGACCATGAGCCCCTTCTCGGAACGAGTGTTTTGTTAGTGGACCTGGTCTGCGATTCAAGGAAGGATTCTGTGGTGATAAGTATCACATAACAGGTAAAGTAGGTAGCATCATGACGAAATGTAAGTATTATTGACAATAATCATAACTGGATGATATGCAAATTTATATGAAGGTACCAGGATCAACGTTATTTAAACATGCGCATTCAATCGCGACGGCATGTAATTCTGCATTTTAAACCTACCCAACCCTTTTCCTTTCTACATTCCCTGAGCAGCTGGTTCACCATAAGTGTACCTCGCAAAACTTTTTTAACCCCCATGGGTAAAAATGCTGTGTTGCTCACTCCTCTCCCCTTCCCTGGTGTATTATGGATGCTGTGAATATTCACATCGGTGACACGGCCCCTGACCCCCTTGTACATCTCAAAATGAAAATGAAAGAATGAACCACTCACAAATTGTGTATTGTGTCTCACGGGCAAGCAGGCCCTTATTTTCGTTTCCTACCAGTGGTTCAAGAGCGAAGGAATTACTCGACCTGTGTGGCTCTATGGAGGTGCCATCGTTTGGAGGAAGTCACTATTGTGTTACCTTCGTGGACGATGCCAGTAAGAAGGTAGTGGTGTTCTTTCTCGAAAGGAAGGCTTGAAGCATACAAGAAATTCAAAGCTAGAGCCGAAAGACAAAGCGAAAAGAAGTTGAAAGTTTTGCGTGCGGATCAAACGGTATCAAACCACGTGTCCGTATACACCCAAACATAATGGTGTTGCAGAACGTATGAATCGTACATTGATGAAGAAAGCACGGTGCATGCTCAACGATGCAAAGCTTGGTAAGCAATTTTGGGCGGAAACAGTTTCAACAGCTACCTATCTGGTCAATCGATGTCTAACGCGGTCATTGGAGAACATGACGTCAGAAGAGGCGTGGTCTGGAAGTAGCCGAATCTAATATCGATTTTTTTTATTATTCAATTTCAACCTGTCTGACAAACTTCAGTTTGATCGTTTGTTTTTAAAACCTACCTCAGGTTGAGGTTTGCACTGACAAAAAGTTCGGTTTCAAACTGTCACAAAATACACAGCCAGTGGAGTTCTTGGAGCTACACTTTGAAGAGCTGTTGGTACAGTACTTGTTCGCTAATGAGGCTAAAAGTGCAGCCCAGTTATCGAATTCCACTCGCTAACTGAGCTGGCTTGTCAAACGTAAAAAAAAAACACTGAGGGGAATTGCAAAGGATTATTTGATCGGCGTTACAAAAATTAATATGCATTGAATTGAAGCAACGTAAACTTTGCTGTTATTTTCACAGCATTCAACTTTACGAGTTTAAAAAGGCTTAACGATTGCGCTAAAAACGCTTTCCTGTCCTGATTTCAGTGTGAAATGAATATAATTTCAAATTTATTTATATTAACACTTAATATTCTATTCGAATGCCCTTGGCCAATTTTGACAACGATATGTCAAACATAATGTGACGTATATTTTTGACGTAGCCCAATTAAAGAACGCCCAGTTAGCGAACAAGTACTGTACCAGTTAGCGCTGCTGATGGAAGCAGTGAAGAGCAGCAAGACGAAGTCGCTGCTGTTTCTTGCGAGGGGGATGACACATCTAAATCTAAATTCTATATGCTCGAAAAATCTCACACTAGCGAATCAATTTTCTAAAATTCTTGATTCATTTCTCGCATCTTCTTACATCGCGCATCATCTTTTTGCAGGAAAGCTTCAGAATCGTCATCTGAAATAGCGTACTCGCAGCTAGCCACAGCAAACCACAATCTTTCCTGCATCGTAGATAGAGTAGTCCCCCTCGGTTCCATGTGATGGTGATAATACCAACAATCAATTCGAAACTAACGATTTAAAATTGGCTCACTACTTGACTAGAATATTGGTCCCAAGCAAATCGATTAACGTACACCATTCTAGTCGAAATTCGAGTACTACACTATGTTTGTTTTGATTCGCTATGAAAGTTTGACAGATATAATGATGGGTTCGTGGATTTTCCTATGTTTCGAGGGGTGAATCGATTAGCTTGGGACCGAAGATAGTACCAGAGCTGAGCCAAAAAGTTGAGCACGTTATTTCGGGACCTACTAGTCTTAGAGTTACCTCTATGATAATACTCTTTGATATGAAGATGAAGACCTTAAAGAGGTTGTGGATGCAGCTGAAAATGTGCTCCCATTGCAACTGAATAAACCAGCTGATACGCAGAAAGGGTTAAGGCGCAGTGATCGGGAGCGCAGTTATCCAGGCAAATACAATGATTACATTAGCTTTGGAGCATACTCTGGTGATACCATTCCCCCCAGTTACCTCCTGATTTAACCAATGGTGAATGTGCGATGCATGATTCAACGACTTACGAAGAAGTTCTACGACGGCCTGACAGAGATCATTGGATTCAAACAATGAACGATGAGTTGATCAGTCCGCATCGTGCTCTCTTGCTGTGCGGATCTATTTGATTTTTGCTGAAGGAAGTGTTACTGCTACCTAAAACTACAACAAATTTAAGCAGCACTTTTCAGTGCTCAACCTGTAAAATTTCTACCTTGTTTGACTCCTATTCCTCTTCGATCCTTGTTTGGACCCCACCTGATGTAATCCTGCTTGGCTAGATTTGGAAAATTTCTCTTCGATTCTTCGGGATTCTTATAGTAATCTGTTTGGAAGACGATTTGGAGAAACTTGGTTCTGCCGCCATGGCGCCTAAGCGCAAATGAAAAGTGCAATCGCTTGATCCTCCTTCTGATGAAATTCATCCCCTATCGTTGTAAGCACTTCCGATTTCCATGCTCTTCGCAAGGAACTTTTGAGCTTTGTTCAATTTAAGTTTTCACTTCAAATTGGCCGTCGTGGTGAATGCCGTGTATTGGCTGAAACCTTAGACGGATTCAAACGTCTTCTCAAGTACCTTACTGAGAAGCAACACACATTTTTCACTTACAACACCAAAACTGAACGTCTGTTCAAGGTTGTCTTGAAAGGTCTGCCCAGTGGTGAATCCTTGGATCAGATCAAAGATGAATTGACTAAATTAATTGGAGTTGAGCCTGTCCAAATAATCAAAGGGAAAATGAAATCCCATCCTGGCGATTCGCGCAACGGGATTTCCAATGATTGTTATTTAGTTCACTTCAGGTTTCACAAATTTTAAACTTTTTTTTTTTAAATTCTGGACGTCAAAACAGCCATGCTCGTAGACATTTTCATGAATATGGATTGAAGGTAAACAGAACATTTTTGAGAATATAAAATTATTAAAAAAAAAAAATATGGACCTTGTAAAAACATTTCAAGGGTCGTGGAATTTGATGAGAATTTTTAATGAACTCATTACAATACTGTTCTGGGAGGAACTGTTACGTGAAATCTGCTTTCGAGGTAGTTCAGAAGAATACGAAAGTAAATTTGTGTAGAATTCTTAGGCAACCCTGAATTTTAATTTTAATGAAAATTTATAACAATTTTTGACGTTAATTCTTAAGAAAATATGAGAAAATTTGAACGAGAAAGAGGATTATACCATGATAATTCTAAGGAGAACTCCAAGTTAATAAATAAAAGAAATCTATGGACATATTGAGGATAACAAGAAGATGATTCTGGGAGTTCCATGGGAGTTTTCGGAGAATTCATAAATGGTATGTTATGGAGGATTACAATTAAATCAAATGAATTCGGTCAAAATTCCAAGCGGTGATATTTTTTCGAGACCCTGGGCACAGAAAAATAATTTGACATCCAGGATTTAAAAATAAATTATAATTCTGACTTCTTGTTGACGTAACAACATCTTGTACCGAGAATCATAACCATAAAGCTGGGTTTAGACAGGGCAAGTCAATTGATCAAGTCAGCTGGGTTTAAACTAGGGAAGTCAAATGATCAACTCAGTTGAATTCAATTGGCTTGAAAAGTTGAGCCTGGTTCAACTTTTTTCAATTCAAGTGAGTTGATCAAGTCAGTTGAATGGCATGGTTTACACGTTCAATTCGCGTTCAAGTCAGTTGAATTCAACTTATTTGATCAATTGGCTTGCCCTGTCTAAACCCAGCTTAAGAGTATCAACAGGATAATTGAGAATTTTAAGCTCTTTCCGAAATAAATAAATAAATAAATTAATTGTGACAATTTTTTCATGTTCCCCTTCTTTAGTATAATTTAAAAAAAAAATCCAAAACGATCCAGACCACCACTGGATGAGCGCACAAGTAAACAATAGATTGCTGTTGCCTTGGTAACTTCCTCGCCACCACCAAGGACCTTCGCGCCACCGCCACGTTGTTCCACTACCGTTGCTTAAACCTGCGACATGGCAGAGGAGGAGCATTGAGCCGGAAAGTAATTCTACCAGCGAGGGGACCTTCCCGACCGACCAACAGTTATCCTGTTCCCCGTGGTGGGTGACGATCGGAAGTTCTAGTCTCAACTCAAGTTAGTCTTTCGCAGGAGGCGACAGAGGATAGTGGCTGTCAGAAATAACACATTCGCTAGCGCGTAATTTATCAAATTGTGCCTGTTTTGTTTTGTAAGTAAGACAAATGCGAACTGATTGTGACGCGGTAGTGTTAGATTAGAATACGAATTTGACCAGTTTCTTAATTTTGTAAAACTACGATAGTCTGTTACGTAACGGATCTCGGTGACCTACGATTCAAGCAAAGCAATCGATCTTTTCTGGAACATATAAAAATAATTCAAGGCCTACTCATAGGAGACAAACCAAACAACCCCTCGGAGCAAAGGTCATTATGCCATTGCGTGCATGCCCTTCGAAGCGTAACGAAATTTTCGCTGCACAATGCAGGTCCATCTGTGCAACGATGAATGTGCTTCTTTCCTACATACACACATTTGATTAACATTTTGATGATGATGATGACGGCGATAGTCGATGGTTTATAAGTTTGTTTTCCTTGCGCTCGACTACGTCACCGAATTCCGCTACGGTAGTGCTACGAATCGATTTTCCATTTATTACCACCCTTGTATTGCGTCCGTTTATGGTACTACATATATCCATGAGGGGGAGACGATGCGCCTGAATTTATATCGCGTGGGGGTTGAGAAATTGCAATTATTGTTTACCTGATTCGTGACGCGAGGTCATACTACTGCAGATTTTCGTTTGACCTCAAAGGACTTTCCTAACCTCACTTTTTCGAATGGGGCGTTAAATGAGACTAGGATAGTCCGTGTTAGTTTGTCTACTGGTCTTTTCAGAAAATGTTTCCCGAGCAGGACATCAATCGCCACAATTACCAGTTGCGGTTCATGGAAATGGAGAATAAGATCAAGAAGTGGTGAGTTTAGCTATTAGAACTTCTTCCCAGTGGTTTGAGATTATACTGACCGGTTCCTTTTTACAGCGAACTGGAAAGAGCCGAGCTGGAGCAACGTTTCAGTCAATTGATGCGAGAGCGACAGGAATGGTAAAAGGTTATGTTTGAAGTTCCCGAGCGTAATTACTAGACAGTGTTAACAAATTTCAGCGAAAGGGCTGCAGCTCGACAGCTTAAACTGAAGTACAAACGCATGATGGAGTTGGACCGGCAGCGAGCGGATCGAAACGAAAGTTTACTGCGGATGTTGCACAAAATCGATCAACAGGCCACTTCCCTTGCGGCCAAAACCGATCGCCTGAAGATGCTGAAGGTAATCCGGATGCTTGTCGAATGTAATCTCTTCGACTAATATCCTCTTCTCTTCTAGACTCAATACGAATCGTACTTGATTCGATCCTGGTCATCCCAGCGAGCTCTTCCACCTTGCTCTCCCGTTCCATCCATGTACTCTCTCCAGCCACAGTTTTTCCCGGCACCTCAACAAACAACCCCCTTCCAGTTCCCTCCCAGAGCATCCGAGTCCCCTAAATCGGAATTTGTTCGATATCTGTCCGACATGACCCACGCACAGACGGTTTCCTACAACCCCATCCCTCCGCCAACGGCTCTGTCCAACTACATCAACCATCAGCAGCTTCCGATGCACCAGCAGTACACTTCAAGTTTCCTGGCACCTACTCCAACTTTCACGCAAGATCCATTCCTTCGACCTCCTCCTCGGGACATCCCACCTTCGCCGAACATCACCACCCTCAACCCACCCACGGAACCCGCCCCAATCCCTCAAACACCTCATCGTGCACCCTCAACCGTTCCACAAGTCGCCAAGAAGTTCGATCTATCCAACGAAGAATTCATCCAATACATCGACAACGAAATCTTGAAAGGATCTACCACTACCGCTTCAGCGGTAGCCGGCAACGATCCACCACCAGACATCGTAATCGAACCGCCAACCATTGCTTCAACGCCCCTTCCGGTGGCTTACCTGGAAGACTTCACAAACGACGTAGACGAAGATCTTCTACAACCACCACCGGGAACGAGTCGCTTCCTCGACGATTCGCCCATCATCGAAGAGATCGTGAAGGCAACTGCTAATCTCGAGCTGAACGATGATTCGTCATTCCCACTGGACGAGATACAGTCTCTTGAGGTATCGGACGACGCTGTCATCAATCAACGCTGGGAGAAAGTTGTTGAGGTGAACTCTAGTGTTCGTCCGCCTTCGGCGGTACCACCACAGGACACTGTTGAAGAACCACTACTCATCAGATCGCCGCCGCTTCAGGATGTGATAACACGAACACTTCGCGGGGTAATCTCCGAAGTAGAAGAGCGACGCGAAGCTCCGGCAGTTTCCGACGACTTGGAAACTGATGTCCGCGAGCTACCGAAAGAAGAAGATGCTCCACATTCGTCTGAACAGGGTAGGTTGCTTGTTGTTTGCGATTACCCATTAGACTCAAATCCATTTTTACTTCTCTTTAGACGAACTTGCCAGCACTTCAGCTGCATTTGGTGAAATGCAACCTGAATATCTGCAGCCGAGCTACGACCAGGAAGTTGTCTACCAACAGGAACACTATCTACCCCCTGATGACGCTTATCCGCCGACAACGCAAGACTGCCAGGAAGCTCCACCGCCAGAGTACACCGCCCAAGAACCCGTAGAATACGCTTACGACTACGGTCCAACCGACGTCGCACAGTCAAACGAAACGCACTGGTCAACGGCACGCCAAGCCGTCCGAACCAAAAGCTATGCCACCACCAACCAATCCCGCACTCCGGAAACGATCGACGAAGTCGTCAGCAACGGCGAGACAAGTCCCCACGAGAAGCGTTCTACACCTTCCGGATCGAAACGAACATCTCCAACCGGGGAGAACCTGTCCGCGACGGAAATTCACTCGGCAGCCCCGGTCGATCCCGAACCGGAACAACCACCCCCAGAAGATCCGCAGCAGTACGACTACTCTCAGTACCAGCCAGAGTACGATCCGAACGTAGACTATCAGCACCAACAGCAAGACGGTGTCGATCAACAGACGTACTACCAACAGCAGTACGCCACTGACGATCAATCCGGACAGCAGGATCCTTCGCAAGTTCAGCCGTACCAGGAGTACGCGGATGTCGATCCGAACCAGTACCAGCAAGCGACGGAGTATCCCGGCCCAACGCAGTACGTATTCGAGCAGGGCTATTATGACGAACAACCGCAGGAACAGCAGTCGGATCAACAACAGCAGGGATACTACGAGGATCCCAATGCTGTGGAGCAGCAGTACTACGGCGAAGAGAATCAGCAGCAGCAATCGGATCAAGCGTACTATGATCAATCGCAAGAACAGCAAGAATATGCTAATTATGAAGCCACGGCCGTTGAGGGGGACGGGCAAGTGGTAGACGTTGCTCCGCAAGTTGTGCAGGAAGAAGTCAAGGAGGGTAAGGAGGATGAGGAGGAGGTGCGAGTGGAGCAACGAGAGCCCTCGTCGACGCTGATGAGTTCGGTAAGTGTTGCCGGTGTTGAATCAACGGAGGAGAAGGTTGAAGAGATGGCAAGTGAATCGGATGGGAAGTCTGAGTCGCCGGTCAAGCAGGGGGTAACGGGGAAGGAGGACACGACCATCAGTTCGGCGAACGATGAAAGTGACTTTGATTTTTCCACGCAGTAGGACGGGCAAGGTAAGTGTGCTTTGTTTAGATTGTTGAATATATAAGTACTTGTTTGGCGAATGCAATTTAATTGTCACTTTCGGAGAATGGTGGATGGTTTGAATGGGAAAGAAAGCCCTGAAACTGTGGCTTAACTTTTGACAGCCATTGTGTCTGGCACGTGATAACTGGTCTCTTCACCTCGTTTTCATCGTGAAGTGACACTCGTAATAAGGGCTGTAGTCTGCGGAACTTGCCATAGAAGAAATCTGTGATTTCCTAGGAAGCGCTCTAATCTTCCCCTGAATTCTGGATCTGAAGGTTGTTGGAACCTAACCAGAAGGTTCTCCATCTCATTTAAAAATTTATCAATTTTTGTTCCGGAAGTCCTCTGAACTTGCCGTGGATGACTTCCTCAATACTCAACAGACTTCCTAGGAAAGTATAGATATTCATTTGGAAGAGCTTTGAGAAAATTTAGAAACTAGCCAAACTTCCAAAAGGATGTCGAAAGAATTCTACGGTCAGTTTGCAGGATCTCAACTTAAGAAATCATCCACAACAACGTTTCCTCGATCATCCGCATTCGTTTATTCGTTTATACAAGTTGCCACAAGTCTTCTGCCATTGACGCAAACGGTTTCAATACTCATATTGATAGTCAGTTTTGTCTGCCACAGTCACCGCGTTGTTCAGGTATTGCTTCAAGCTAGTCGAAACTCCGGCAACCCTGGCTAGGTGAGCTGCCATCAGGTTTTGAATGACGATCCGTTGCTCATCGCTGATCACCTCTATGTGTTCCATGAACCGTATCATCAACTGTTGCTGGTATGGATCGTAGATGTAATAGGCTGCCGTTCGAAGGAACACTTCCAGATGCTGACCTCCGATGCTGTAATGAATTCCCTGGCTGTGTTATGCCTATAGATCTTATTTTGTTATCGATTAAAGGAAACTTACGTAAGTTGGAGGTAGCCAATTTCAGCAGTCAATATCTCCAGAAGCTCGTCTATGTAAGGAACTCCTGTGTTAATCACAGCGACGAACAGATCAAGCATTGCGGGGCACCTAAAGTTCTGCAACACGTTGTCCACGAACTGTTGGAAGAATTCCGAACTGGTGAAGCATCTTTCGAAGTCAACAGCGTCGATCAACTTCCTAAACGATCTTAGATGGCACTGCAATCCAGACACGTACTCCGGAGACAACAGCTGATAGCAGGTATCGTAACTGTTAAGTGATTTTCCAATTTTCTGACAGCTGGACATCTCCAGTCGGCAAGCCCACTTCAGCGCCAGCATTCGAGCTTCCATGCCACCGTTACTCGAAGCGTTCTGGAACAACCTCAACATATTCGAGGTAAATCGTTTGGCTACAATCTTCATGTCCTGCTCCACATCCATCCTTCCCAAGCTTAGCCGAACCAACTGCCAGAGATTGTGGTCGGCCATCGCTGCTATCCACGGCAGTGGATCGGTATCGTTCCACAACTTGTCCAACATCAAAAAGAGAGGCTCAAAGAACGCCTCCTGGTCCCACTGGAGACTGAAGGCATCATCCAGTAGCTTGGCTCGCGCTGAACCGCCTATCCTGTACCAGTTATCAAGGATCTCGTTCCATCCCTGCTGCGAATAGCTGACTCGGTAAAAGCCATACGATCCAACGTTCACCAGCGGCAGCATTCCGTCTAGGGTCACAATCACTGAATCTGTATTGTCTGGAATCCAGAAAGCTGGCGTTTCCCCGAAATCTTCATCCAACTCGTACGAACTGTAGAAAATCGGTATCCACCAGCGACTGCCAGGGCTACTGGGGCATGCTCTAAAGGGGCGCTGCGTGAAGCGGTATTTGTTCGAGTTTCCAATACGCTGAACGTCGACTATAGGATGACCGGCTTGGTATACCCAGCTGTTGAACATCTCGGCCACGTGAGTTTCCTGCAGAATAATCGAACTGGCAGCTACAAGCTCATGTAAACTTTGGTACAAGCTAGAGGGATCGGCTGATGTAAACTGATTAGTGGCGATATACTTCTGAATTCCGGCTTGAAACACGTCAGGTCCCAGTGCCTGTTCCATCATGCGAATTACTCGGGAAGCTTTCTCGTACACAATCATATAATTTCCGTCATAGTACAGCGCCTGAATTTCATCCGGATGTTCAACTCTGTAGAGCATTGAATGGGTTAGGGGACTGGAGTCGTAGTTCAGTACTGCCAACGTACGCTGGTCGTACTCGGATCTGATTGTCCAATAGGCTTCGGGAAGGAACTGCAAGGTCAACCTGTCCGACATGAACGTGGCAAATCCTTCCTTCAACCACAAATGATCCCACCAGGTAATTCCGACAAGGTTACCGAAGAATTGATGAGCCACCTCGTGGGAGATCAATCTGGCCGAATCTATCTGTTCGAAGATGTCCGCCTGCTGGTCTACGAACAGATAATCCTCATCACACAGAATCAATCCCCAGTTCTCCATACCCCCACTGAAGCCTACGATGCCGACTTGGCACAACTTCGGAAGGGAGTACTTTTGCCCGGTGTAGTCTTGCAAAGCCTGCAGCGACTTCTCCGTCATATTCAATGCAAACTCCAAAGCTCCATCGTCACCGTCAACCGGTTGGATCAGTATCCCGATCCTCACTCCATCAGATTCCCGAACTGTTTCTTCAAACTCAGATACCAAGATCGCCACCAGATAGCTGGCCATCGGAGGTGTCCGGTTGAAACGAACCAGCTTTCTAGCTTGGTCCAACTCCTGCTCCTCCATCAAGTCCCCGTTGGAGTGAACGTTGTGTTTCCTACTGGATATGACTTCTATGTCGAAGGTCGCCTTATACTCCGGTTCATCGTAGCATGGGAATGCCTTCCGAGCGAAAGTCGGTTCAAAGGCCGTCATCGCGTAGAAATGCTTCTCCATAAGAATGTCACCTTCTGCAGTTTCCGTGTAGCTTTTCTTCAAGAAACCTCGACCTTCGTGGTGTTCCAAGTTCCCACTGAAGTCGATCAGCAACTGGTACTCTCCGTCCACCAGGCTCAGTATCGGATTTGAGGTGTAGATTTTGAGGAACTGGGTTGCGGCATCCCGTTCTACAGCCGCGATGGGCACATCTGAGTCGCCCCACTTGAGATCGACGGAATGGATTGCAATACCGGAATCGGAATGCAGCACGATGAGATTCGTAGGGAACGGGGCGTTGATGCTGATGATGACCTGTCCGGTGTAGAGGTCAACCGAGTCCAGATTAACGGGCATCTCCAGCCGCAGACTGTAGTGTACCGGATAGGTGGTGAACGGTAGCTGATAGCCTTGGCGGCTTAAATTTTGCTCCGTGGCGGTTGAATCAGTCGCTAGAAGCGACACTAGTGTCAACAGGAAGATCATCTTGATCGTCACGGGAATGATCGTTTGAATGCAAGTGATGGACTATTTAAAGGAAGTTTAGTTGCGGTGTTAATTGCTGATGGTGAGATCGTAAATCTAACCGTTTGGCAGGTAAGGTGGGTTTTATGGAGCAATATTTATGGTGGACGTCCACCTCCTATTAGAGCGGTGATTAAATGAGTAATAACTGCAGTTATGCGTGGAGAATCCCTGTTTACGATTATGTTTACTTTGTAGATCCGACGAGGTTTGAGGTTTTTCAATGTGCAACCAGTTTTTCAACTCTAGATTAAAATGTCAATAGGTGTTATCTGCTTTGATCGATTCTGTTGAAGAAGTCAGGGGAATTTGGTATAATTAAAAATGACATTCCTTTACTAATTATTTCTCTGCCCTTATAAATCTGTATTTTAAATATTCATAATTTAACCATTACTTCAACTACCTTAAATAGTATCGCGGTCACATCCGTCGGTCGATACTTGACATACTTATCCGGATTCTTACTGAACTGTACTTTGGAGTAGATCTCAAAAAACGCATTGTACTGCAGAATAATGTGCTCGGTGTTGTCCCGCTTGATGCCCTCCCGCAGCAGCCCATCCGGTACGGAGATGGCACGCTGCGTCCGTACCACCTCGTCCAGTTCCTTGTTGAACGAGGAAAACCGCTTCTTGATAGTAGCTCGTTCCTTGTCTTTCACCCGGTCGCCGATCGGTTTCAGAACGTCTTCCAGTGGGGCGATGCATGACAGCAGCTTGGACCACGAGTTAAGATAGGCTTTCTTCAGGTCTTGGGTCATTTTCTGGTAGTGTTGCTCGCAATCGTGCTCCGTAAGGGCAGCAACGTCGATTAGGTTCGAGCGTTGAAGCGACTTCAAGATGTAGTGGGTGTTGTTCAGCTTGAACAGTTGTTTCATCGCTACATCTCCGTACTGCTCGTATTTGGCGGCGATGGTGTAGTTTAGTTCGGCGAGCACTATCCGAACGTAAATACCGAGAAGGGCTTTATTCTTCTGTTTTAGCGAGACGGTTTTGTGGGAAGCGATTCGATCCAGGTCATTGGTGTAGATTGGATCCATCTGAAGAATGCTTCCGATGGTTTCGCAGTGTTCCTGGAGCTACATACTACTCGATTTTGGGATTTCGGTATGAACTACAGTAGTGAATGCCACAAATAGAATAGAAAATCTGAGAAGTTTGGAGATATTAGTGATATTCATGGAATGTGAATTTTAAAGTTGCTTCCCTGAAGATCTATAAATTTATCGTCAGTGCTCTTAAGTTCAAACATTTATGGGCTTCTCTAAAGTATTGGAGAGGCAACAATCGTGCCACCCCTACAGTATACGTGTGGTGCGTGTACATCCCTATCGGTATGTCAGCAGGGTCGACTGCGTAGCAGAGAGAAGAAAGTGCAAAAGAACCATTTTGTTTATTCGTAAATGTGCTCTCGATGTGACAACATCTTAAGTCAATATTCGTATTCTAAACCTGGCCTTTCATTACACTGTAATCCTAAGTCCAATAGGTTATGGGCCCAGTTAAACGTGAAAGTGCGATAGTTTAGTTGTTCGACCCGAAGTGTATTAAAAAATATCGAGAAGAACAGTATTGTAGTGCCGGAAACAAAATGGCGGATACGAAAGTCTAGATTGAGAAACTGAACGATCACAATTATGGCATCTGGAAGTTCAAGATGCGGCTGCTATTGACGCGTGAAAAGCTGCTGAAAATGGAGATGTGGGATGCTCTGAAGGACTGTCATAAGCGGGCATCTCTTTCGAGCAAAATACATGTTGAACGTCAGTTGGTATCGTTACGTATGCCAGAAGGTGGAAGTATGGCGGAGTCAAGGCTTCGGCTCACGGCGCTAGGCGAAGAGGTGAAAGATCACTGGTTTGTGGCATTGATGCTTTCTAGCCTACCTTCGTCGTACGATGGCTTGATCATGGCACTTGAGAGTCGTCCGGATGACGATCTCACAGTTGATTTCGTGAAAGGGAAGCTGCTGGATGAGGGTCGACGGCGAGTTAAAAAGTCTCCTGAAGCGGAGAGTGCATTCGCCACGGGTTCGGCTAGTGGAAGGCAGCATAAATTATTCAGTGAGAAACAGAAAGTGAATAAGGAGAAACAAAAAGTGTGCCACTACTGTAAGAAGGAGGGACATTTCCGGCGCGATTGCCGAAAGTTGGCCCAAGATCGTCAAGAGAATGTGGCTGCCGAGTGTGATGAAAGGTTCGAGATGTGTCTTGCGGCTGGGAGTACTGGAGAAGCAAGTGTGTGGTATCTTGATTCAGGTGATATCTCTCACATGACCAATGACGCATCTATCCTTGGAGAACTCGACGGTTCCAAAAGTGCGACCATCTGTTTGGCTGACGGAAAGAAAATTAAATCAGCTGGTGCTGGTACAGGTAAGATTACCTGTGTGAACGGTGATGGCACTCGAGTGAATGTGTAACTGGAGAACGTTTTTCATGTTCCTTCGCTCGCAAGCAATCTGCTCTCGGTGAGTAGGATTGCTGATTTAGGACTCACTGTGTTGTTCGAGAAGTCCGCATGTAAAGTGTTCAAGGGAAACGAAGTGGTCTTGGTTGTTCTACGGAAGGGTGGCCTGTATCACCTTAAACAGTTTCCGGATAGAGCGCTGTCGGCTGAAAATAAGCATAGCGATTCGTGTGAGCATTTGTGGCATCGTCACCTGGGGCACCGTGATTCGAAGGCTGTAATAAAAATAGTGCGTGAGAATCTTGGTCATGGCTTGAAGATTGGACAATGTGATGTGAAATCGGTGTGTGGACCATGTTGTGAGGGGAAGATGAGTCGGGACTCATTTCCGAAAGCTTCGAAGAGTCGAACTAATGAAGTTGGTGAACTTGTGCACAGTGATTTGGGTGGTCCGATGGAAGTAGCAACACCGCGGGGGAATCGCTTCTACATTATTCTAGTCGACGATTACAGTCGTTATTCGGCGATTTACTTGCTTCAGCGCAAATCGGATGCAGAAGAGAAGATTCGTGAATACTTTAATTTGATGAAAAATCGTTTCGGACGTTACCCCAAGTGCTTCAGGTCGGATGGGGGTGGTGAGTATTCTGGTGGTAGTTTGAAAAAGTTTTTCGCGGACAATGGTATTGTTCAGCAGATGTCGGCACCGTATTCGCCACAGCAAAACGGGGTGGCTGAACGGAAGAACCGATATCTCAAGGAGATGATGTGATGTATGCTGGCTGAGTCGGGTCTGGAGAAGAAGTTCTGGGGCGAAGCGATCAACACTCCGAACTATTTGCAGAATCGCTGCCCATCGTCGTCGATTGACCGTACACCGTATGAAATATGGAACAAGAAGAAGCCATCGTACGATACGTGCACGTTCCGAAGGAAAAACGGAAGGCTCTGGATATGAAGTCCAAAAAGTTGATTTTTGTTGGTTATGCGGAGGGACGAAAAGTGTACCGTTTCTTGGATGTGCAGACGGGCTATGTCACGATCAGCAGAGATGCAACATTTCTGGAGCTGTGCAGTGTGAAAGAAGCCGTTCGCACGTTTCCAAAATCTGAGTCTCCAGCCACAGGAGAATTTTTCGACGTGCCACTGGCAGTGATGGCATAATCCTCACTCAAATGATTTTGTTTCGCTCTCAAGGGCTCCCAATATCACGCATGATATTGGAATAAAATATCAAGCATGATATTGTTTTTACAAGCTCCTTTGATATTGCGAGTCTATTCAGAACATGTAAAATTACAGCCACGAGTTGACTTACCAAAAAAATGATTCCTTTGCACATCGTTTTCTTAGAAAGAGAAAGCATAGTTTGCTATCTTTCTTTACGCTTCACAGATGGCAGACACGAAGTTACTGCTGCCAGCAGTGAAGGAAGTTTCGTTTCGTGTTCGGATGTACAGCAAAAATCTTGAAGCTCAAAAGCAACACAGTTGGGTGAGAATTGTAGCCGGGGAGTTTTGTTAGCATGATATCATAGCAACCGTATCACAGCTTGTAATATCATCGACTGTTGTTTGCGTGTTGAGTTTTTGGTTTACGATACTCAAATGAGATTATGCACATTGGTGAGATTAGATCTTTTGATATTTTCACAACACTGGCCACTGGTGATGCTTTCGGATGAATCAGATCAGGAAGAGGATTCTGATGGATCTTTGGAGACAAATGTTGAAAATGATGATTCGGATCTGGATTCGACGATGTATGGTAGTGCTTCTGATGGTGTTTCTCCATTTCATGGTTTTCCGTTGGACGAAATTTCAAGGCGTTCAATGCGTTCCACGAAGGGCTTTCCCCCAAGCAGGTTGATTGAGGAAATATTTTCAGCTGGGACTGTATCCGGGGAGGAAGTGGAACCGAAGAACTTGAAGGAAGCACTGACCTGTGAACGAAAGGAAGAATGGAATGCAGCCATGGTGGATGAGTTGAAATCCCATTCAGAAAATGGAACGTGGGAATTGGTTAACTTACCAAAGGGACGTAAGCCTGTCGGTTGCCGCTGGGTTTTCAAATTGAAACGGAACGCAGCTGGTGAGGTAACCAAGCACAAGGCACGCCTGGTAGCGCAGGGTTTTTCCCAGAAGTACGGCGAAGACTACGATGAAGTTTTTGCACCGGTAACTACACACACAACGTACATGGTGCAACCACCCGGACACGTGGTAAAGAGCAAGGAGAACATGGTGTGTCGCTTGAGGAGGAGCATTTACGGGCTGAAGCAGTCTGCTAGGTGCTGGAACAAGCGACTGGATTATGTTCTTCAGAGCATGGGATTCAAGCAAAGCACATCCGATAGCTGTCTGTACACGAAGATAGTGAAAGGGAAAAAAGGTCTACTTGCTGGTATATGTAGATGATATTCTCGTTGGTTGTGAGGAAGAAGCGGAAATTGAAGTGGTGTACGAAGCGTTAAAGAAGCAATTCCATATCACGGATCTGGGCGATCTGAGTTATTTCCTTGGCTACATTGTGAGGCAGGTGGATACAGTGTATCTTTGGAGGGATACATTGACAGAGTCGTTGAGAAATTTGAACTTCGTGATGTAAAAGGTGTAAAAACTCCAATGGAAACCGGATACGTGAAAGGACAAGAGTCCTTTGCTGTCTGATGGAGCAAAGTACAGAAGTCTCATCGGAGCACTACTGTACATAGCGGTATGTGCTCGACCGGATGTGGCAGTAAGTGCATCAATACTTGGTCGAAGAGTAAGTTCATCGACAGAGGCGGACTGGGTGGCTGCGAAGCGAGTCGTGCGCTACCTGAAGACGACTAAAGATTGGCGATTGCAGTATGACAGTACTGGTGGTGACCTGGTCGGATTTTCTGATGCGGATTGGGCTGGTGATATCCGTACCCGGAAGTCAACCACTGGTTTTGTGTACATGTTCGCTGGTGCTGCCGTTTCGTGGTGTAGTCGGAAGCAAACGAGTGTCACTCTGTCTTCGATGGAATCGGAGTATGTGGCGCTCAGCGAAGCAACTCAGGAATTGGTGTGGCTTGTGAATCTGCTCAAGGAGTTTGGGGAACCATGTCAGGGTACTGTAACAGTACTGGAGGACAATCAGAGTTGCATCACATTTGCGAGCTCCGAACGTACGAGTCGTCGTTCGAAGCGTTGAAACCAGAGCGCATTACGTTAGGCAGATGTGTAACGACAAGGTGTTGAACTTGAAGTACTGTCCGACGGAGCATATGGTAGCAGATGTGCTTACAAAACCGCTTGGTGCGATCAAGCAGAAGAAGCTTGCTGAAATGATGGGATTGTTTTCAAGTGGTGACAGCATTGGTTGAGGAGGAGTATTGGAGAGGCAACAATCGTGCCACCTCTACAGTATAGGTGTGGTGCGTGTACATCCCTATCGGTATGTCAGCAGGGTCGACTGCGTAGCAGAGAGAAGAAAGTGCAAAAGAACCATTTTGTTTATTCGTAAATGTGCTCTCGATGTGACAACATATTAAGTCAATATTCGTATTCTAAACCTGGCCTTTCATTACACTGTAATCCTAAGTCCAATATAAAGTAACCTGTTGCTCGTTGAAATTCTCTTAAAATCCTATAAACTTCTCAGATGTTGCGGGTACTTTTCGGAAGTTCTGTAAACTTTTCTGATTTTTTTTGACGTAGGGCTACGTCTGTGATTTTTGTATTGGGGTACACTTTGTAAAAACCGAAAATGGAACATGTAACACAATTATGATTTTTTTTAACATTAATAACTCAGCTGCCTCTGGACGAATTTCAATAGTTTTATCTTCAATCGATCAGAAAAGCAATGCTTCCGACTGATGATTTTCAATAATAAACTAGAAACTGTACAAATAAAAAGTGACAACTTTATCACTGTTTTCATGAAATAAACGTTCTTCCCAAACCCAGTCGTCATAATCGAGTACCACTTGGTTGCACATCATTCTGCTTTAAACTGAAAAGATATAAAAGAGCGCAGCTGTCTAGCCTCAACTTATGTTTGCTTCGGACGGCGTGTTGAACAGGCAGCAGAGGCAGCAATAGGAAGATGATGGCAGGTTAGGTAGTCCACTCTTCTACCTAACAAGCAACAATGGCTGGTCGTTGCAAAAGAGGAAAAGGTCTTGGTAAAGAAGGCACCAAGCGCCATTGCAAGGTTCTTCGTGATAACCGCCATTCGTCGTTTGATTCGCCGTGGCGGTGTCAAACGTATCTCCGGTCTGATCTATGAGATGTGCTGAAGGTATTCTTGGAAAATGAGATCCGGGATGCTGTCACCTACACTGCACACGCTAAGCGTAAGCGGCCATGGATGTTATCTACGCTTTGCAGCTACAGAGACGCACTCTGTACGGTTTCGGAAGTTAAATCATCACCAACTTTGACAACAAAACGGCCCTTTCAGGGCCAACTAGTTTATTACAGTGAAGAGTTGGAATAGAATTTATCTGTGCCTGTTTGTCCATATCCAGAACCACACGCCCCAAACGACCATACAGAATGCTCTCCAGAGTTGTAGCAACCCTAACCGGTGGCAACTAACGATTTCAAATTGGCACACTACTTGACTCGCCTATTGGTCCCAAGCAAATCGATTAACGTACCCCATTATAGTCATCATTCTAGTACTACACAATGTTTGTTTTGATTTGCTATGAAAGTTTGACAGATAAAATGAGGGGTTCGTAGATTTTCCTATGTTTCGATGGGTGCTTCGATAAGCTTGAGACCGAAGACAGTACCAGAGCTGAGCCAAAAAGTTGAGCACGTTTCTTTGGGACCTACTAGTCTTATAGTTAAACCATAGAGGTAACTCTAAGAATAGAAGGTCCCAAAAAAACGTGCTCAACTTTTTGGCTCAGCTCTGGTACTGTCTTCGGTCCTAAGCTAAACGATTCACCCCTCGAAACATAGGAAAATCCACTAACCCCTCATTTTATCTGTCAAACTTGCATAGCGAATCAAAACAAACATTGTGTAGTACTAGAATTTCGACTAGAATGGGGTACATTAATCGATTTGCTTGGAACCAATAGGCTAGTCAAGTAGTGAGCCAATTTAAAATCGTTAGTTTCGTATTGATTGTTGCTATTACCAACAATCAATACGAAACTAACGATTTTAAATTGGCTCACCACTTTAGTAGCCTATTGGTCCCAATCAAACGATTAACGTACCCTATTCTAGTTGAAATTCTATTACTACACTATGTTTGTTTTGATTCGCTATTAAAGTTTGACAGATAACATCAGGGGTGTGTGGATTCATGCAGAACATGCAGGGGTGAGTGAAATAGCTTGGGACTGCTTGGGACCGTTGTTCTGGTACTGAGTGAGCCAAAAATAATAATGATTTTCTTCGGGACCCAGTGGTCTTAGAGTTACCTCTATGCTATTACCTTATGGCTTATATCATGTAATATAAGCTGTCTTGCAATGAGCACTCATGCATCTAGTTTTCACTGGAAATCCTATGGGGGGTACGGGGTATAAGCACAAACCAAGTGACAGACGACTAACTGGCAAAGAAATCAATTAAAATAATGTGGTTCGCTGTAATAGAATGTTCTTAAAAGCTTGTGCCATCATCCACCAGATGAGCTAGTATTTTTGTTTTGATTTGAACAAAGTTGATTTTGTTTTCAATGATCTTTGACAGTGTGCAAAGAGTGTATCATTTTGCCATTTTTTATGCATTTCAGTTTTGAGTAGAGTGAAAGAAATAGAACCAAAACATTCTAGTACATTTAGTGTTGCCATGTGGTACAATCAACAATCAAAACGAAACTAACGATTTTAAATTGGCTCACTACTTGACTAGCCTATTTGTCCCAAGCAAACGATTAACGTACCCCATTCTAGTCGAAATTCTAGTACTACGCAATGTTTGTTTTGATTCGCTATGAAAGTTTGACAGATAAAATGAGAGGTTAGTGGAATTTCCTATGTTTCGAGGGGTGAATCGATTAGCTTGGGACCGAAGATAGTACCAGAGCTGAGTCAAAAAGTAGAGCTCGTTTCTTCGGGACCTACTAGTTTTAGAGTTACCTCTATGGTAGAAGGGTATAAAGTCCGCCATGTCGCACAGTCTGACGTTTGCTTATTGGATTCTACTATATAGGAGTAAAGAGTTACAGAGTTACCGTCCACGCCAACAAACAACTACGATCGCAGGGGGATCTGTAATTTTCAGCGTTGTGGAAATTATGGTTGCCAGTAAACATTGTATGTTGCCGCTTGACGTTTTGACAGCTCGTTCGACACGTAAACACCATGAAACACCCAAAACCATACAAAAAAAACACAATCAGCACAATCACAAGGTGGCATATTGACTTACCCTCTGGGCGGGGCAGTCAAGGACATCCAGCAAATGTGGGAAGTAATGGAAGAAATGCGCTGAATCCGTGTCCGTTTCCACTGTGCGAGCGCTGATGGGCTCCATCAAGAGGAAGGTTCGAAATTTCGTTCGAACTGGAGAAATGTAACCATCTAATGCTGTAACTTTGAAGTTTTAATAAAAGTACTGTAAATGGACTTTTCAAACTTATTGAATCACGAATTACAGGTATTTAAATAAATTTTTTTTTTGTAATATAGATAACGTGTGACCTACTGACAATGTAGTTTTAATTGGACAAGTCATAAACTAAAATGTTATGAATTATTGTAAATAGTAGCATTTTCCAAAATACTACCTACAGTTTTTAGTTATCTTTGAAATAGTGTACATATTAACATACACAATCTTCAACCAAATGAAGGGAGCCTCTTTGTTTTGTCATCTGGACCTGATCGACCGCATCTACCGATCGACAGTGACTTCCGTCATGTGCTCACATTCAATACTGCAACGCATGGACTCATTCACCCCCACGAGAGCTGTTTATGGTGCTGCGAATATTCCGGCTATTTGGCAACGACGCATGAAGACCCTTCTTCAAAGCTTGGACATCATCGTTTCCGCAGACAACTTCGACGATCTTCTACTAGCCCTCACAGCGACCTTGGGCAGGTTGAAACAACATGGACTATGACCACCGACGAATCGACGTGACAGCTCATTCAAGCAACATTCAAATTCTTGCCCAAGACGCCATATTTAAAATACGTTGAACACTACCGCCATCTACTCATCCGATCGCGTCATATCATGAGCAAGGACACGAACCCACGTAGAATTTATATTGCCATGCTATGCGTCTCACCTCGTTTGACAGATCTGATAGCCCGTTTGAAAGTTCGAATCGCTCGTTAGACAAATCGAATTGTGGACAAACGAAATGCTCCTGTGACATGTCGGGACTCAACCGTTCAAAATGTCTAGAAATCTACCTGAAGTTCTAGTTTACATTACTACCCCGAACCTAGAGACAAACTTCCCATATTTCGAGAACTTCCAGTTTGCCATTCGATGTTCTAGCGGCAAGACAAATTTCGCACTGACCCCACGGAAAAGGCGTGGGCCGCCAACAACCTTCCTGGATAGCTCATCCTCATAACTTGGCCGCTCATAATCAGCTGACTAAATTGCTGCGTTATCGTCGATGGAAGTAAACTGGATGAAATATGCGCCTCCCTCAAGGGACTTCTATTTTCGGTTCCCGTGCCGAGCGGAAATCAAGGATCACCTTTTGGTAAACGTAGCTGTATGTGCAGGCGTGTGTGGTAATCGACCTCATTTCGCCGCACATTCCTTATAGTGTCAACAGCCGGTGTGTGGAGTGAAGTGGCCGGGGCAATCATTCCGAATCAGCTCTATTTGCTCTGGTGTCGCTAATTTATGTGCTGAATTTGTTATCTCTGTGGTTGGTGGGTGTGTGGGCGGTCTCACCTGTTGCTGGCCATAAAGGGTACGCAGGTTCGCATCAGCCAGAGGACAATTGCTGCCGATGATGCAGTCCACATTTCCCGATAAGTGATAAAATAAAAATCGGTTTCGTCATTTTCTTCTTGGACTTCGGTGGTCAGCCACCATTGTATAAAAGTCCAGCAAAGGGCAACCGGCGGTCTCATTCCGGTTCGATCCCGGCCACGGATCAGTACAGTACCTAGTCGTCCGCTAAATTGCTCTTTTCTGCATTTTCTGTGCTTGCTTGTGTGGGGAAAGCTAGTGATGAGTCTGCCACCGTCCGAGGCGGTAGAGTGTCCTAATTGGATCTGAATTGGAATTTCAAACAAGTGGTGATGTGGTTTCCGCTGTCCACGGTGACGGCGGCCCTGTGTGTCCTGATGGACACGGCAGTGGACGTCGCTGGGGCCAGTAGTGTCAGTGCCGAGGATGCCCTCGAGGTGACATTCAGCGAGCGGACCCGGGCCGATTGGGAGAAGGTTTGGCACGAGGAGAGCCACTCGCGCTGCCGGGACAAGCTGTTTCGGCACTTGTACTGGGCCTGCGAGAAGGATATCTATCGGATTTCACGGAGAAACGATGACTACGGTGCCGGCGCATCAATGGGGCTCAGCAGCGTCGGGAAGCGAGCGAACGGTGAATATTTCGGTGTTGAAGAACGGGAATTCTCGGGAGTGATTATGGTGAAGAGTGGGTGAGGACTCTGATTATCGGTAGGCGTTCAAATTTTGAGGTGAAAATTTAGTTTGATGTGGATTGCGCGTTCAGCTTTATATAACAATCGACGAGGGTCAATGCAACCGGTTCGGTCACTTGAGATATGTGTGTCATTTAAATTGTTGCTCAGCTAGGGTAATTTGCCAATTGTTTACTGTGCAGCATTTATCTATGACCATAAAGTTTACGAATCATGTTGACATGCTAATCAGTGATCAATCGTTGAATGATTTAACATGTGAGCATGAGCATTATTTGTATAATAAATTATAAGAACATCCAAGGTCACACTTGTATAGTTTGTGTATAGTTGTTGTATAGTGCTCGTAAAGGCCCAAATCGCAATGTGAGCGGAAGCGGAACGGAAAAGGATAGTTTGACAGTTGTCACAAATGACATCAAGGTGTCTAACTGAAGTCGATTTGGTTATAACTAGTTTTCAATCCGACAAGTAGGTTTACTCAGATCGGGCTTCTCCACTTCCGCTGTCATTGCGCTTGGACCTTAATTATTATACAAATAATGCTCATGCTCATAGTAGGTCTTACAAGGGTATCCCCGGCAATATTGTGATAAAACACGTTCTAAGTATTTTTGACATTGTGCATATGATTTCAGGCGATTTCTTCATTTTTCAGCTAATAATCTTCAGTTGTAAAATAAGCTATTAGGTACTAGCTCAAAATGCAATTAAATTAATTCATCTATGCAGGAAAATGTTGGTTATTATTTTATCAATCGATGAATTGCAAAACATCTACCAACCATGCAACATTTACAGAAAAAGAAAGAGTGTTCAATAATTGGATCACATTTCGACTGCTGCTCCTGGATTATTGTCTAAAGGGATAACGCCTAAAGGTATGCAACGTTTCAAATAAAACAACTGCTGCGTATATTTTACTTCTCTTGTTGACTGGTTCAATAAAATGATTAATTGATTGATTTCTTTATTATAGATACTGTCAGCCGTTGGCTGGTTCGTCTATTTCAATAAATTAATAAAATAACTTATATCGTAAGTACACTTTAGCGAACAGTTACGTTTAATAATCAAAAAGAACCACGTCTTACTGAACACATTCATCCTAAGATTCATATTTTATGGGTGTACAATAATTACATACGATTATTGCACATATAACATCAATGCAAATGGGCTCTGAGGCGCATTCAAAAAAGTTATTAAAACGAAAGCTTCCATGAATATACACTGCTTATTAGCTCTGGAAATGCTTTATCAATCACATTGAAAGGTTTCTTGAGGAATTTCTACTTCAAAAACGCTGTCAATCTCGTGCTTAGCTGTGGAACAATTGGCGAATTGCGCTACAAAGTCTTTATTTTCCTACAACTATCCATCAATGGTTCCATGGTGTAATGGTTAGCACTCAGGACTCTGAATCCTGCGATCCGAGTTCAAATCTCGGTGGAACCTGCCCCGAAAATCTATTTTTGGAACTGGTTAGGAAACGAAAAACAAAAATGCAACTTTGCTCTCAGATTGTAAAAAAGTTGTTAATCACAGACATGATCTGTTGGTTGTCGTCATTCTCATTAAATCAGTTGATTAATCGAATTGATCTAGTGCTCACTTTCCTCTCTCAGCTCAGCTCACAGCTGTCTGTCTGTCCACCACCCTGTGTGCACATGATGTATGGTGTGTTTGCTTTACTGGGTTGATTTATTTTTCTATTTTGGCTTGCATTTTCGACGGTATATTTAACCGTTAACCCTGTACACATAATCTGCAGTAAGAGGCAGTTCATGAACTACGTAGAAAACGAGGAAGAAAATTAGTTTTTGTTGAATTTTAAATTTTCCTTTTCCCCTGAGTTGCTACCACTTTTCTTCGGTGAATTCCTCTTAATTTAAATGTAACATGCTGTAACTTTTACAATGCTTATTTACAATCAAATCGCTCTTCATTTTATCTTTCATAGGTCCTTGTATAATTTTATATAAATTTCAATCTTCATCACATCGGGTTCCATGGTGTAATGGTTAGCACTCAGGACTCTGAATCCTGCGATCCGAGTTCAAATCTCGGTGGAACCTGCAAGGATATATCTATTTTTGGAACCTAAATTAGGAGAATCATAGAAGCTGATGAACCATGACCAATTTAATTTATACAAGATTTATATTATTGCTGATTCACAGAAATCTTAGCATGCATCGACATTTCTCCAATAAGAAGAAGTAACATTCGCAGCTTTCAAACATAAACACAACACGGAACAAATCACACAACCGGTTAATAACTATCATTCTTCGAAGCCTCGGTAGAAGACGGATCCGAACTGCTTGATGCATTCGATCCGATCCGCCGTATTATCAATTGTATCACTCAGGCTATATTGGAAATAATTGTGGAGATGGGTGTCCTCATGAAATGAAGTAGTGTAGTAGTCCATAGGTTGGTTGGAGGATCTTCTTGTGCCATTGCGCTGAAATGCAGTTTTCGTTTACCTTTCTATTCAAATAGCTTCAGATTTCTTCAATTTCTCTCGCGAACTTCCAACTGACTTGTTTTAAATGTTGTCTTGAATGTGTTGTTATCATGCGAACCAGGTGTCCAACTCGGTCTTCAAGGAACGATTTTGGTTCAGTGTTCGAAAATCCCAAAAGCAACTGTCAGTGACGGTTGTCAATTTCGGTTGCCAAATACGACGCGAAATGCTTATTTTTCTCTGAATACATGAAAAACGATTAAAACTGGGTTAATCAGCAAAAATATATAATCGATAATCACCTTACTTAACCTATCCAATCTCTCATATAGGGAAAATGTATGTAATGTCGGCCTAAATGCCCCTAATTTGGGCCCATACATAAATTCAGCAAACGATTAAATTTTCAATTGCGAGCAAAAATATCCATTAGTACTGTCCCAATGATGCGTTCATCTAGATAAAATTGATAAATGGCAGATTTTTAGCGATGGGCCCAATATTAGATCCATAGGCCCACATTAGTGCCATTTCTTCTATATATGTGATGGTTTATTGATTTTTATTTATTTTGCCAATTCAACCCCCACTGCCCGGCAGTGTTATTATGGAAGAAAGTCACCCACATTTTCTTGTTTGCGGTAATTACAGACAGTTTTAGTACAGACATTAGAAGATGATAGCTCTATTGCAGGTCCAGCAACCCATTTCAGAACGTCTGGAGAGTCATGTCCATTCCGAGGTTACTTTCACTTACAATAAGCCCCACATGTATGCACCACCGTTATCTTTTTTTTTTTTTTTCCTTTGGTTTGTTTTTTCCGTCGATCTTGTTTTCCGTGCTGAGCACCAATGCTACCGACGTGCCAGGAAGGCAGCTCCCACACCTGGACCCTACCTATCGACCCATCAACTCATGAACCGGGGACCAACGGCTTTACTTCCCATCCGAAGGAAGGCGTGATCAGAGATGTTATGCCTCAGAACATCCCGGCGGCGCCGACTGGGATTGAACCCAGGCCTGCTGGAGTGAGAGGTAATCACGCTTACCACTACACCACCGGCGCCGTTACACCACCGTTATCAAACGGATATTGGTATTACATACACACTTCCAGGTTTCAAAATACTCTTCTCAAACCTGGCGCGTATTTAGTTTAATTTATAAAGAATAATTGGCCCGGTCTCACTGTTCCGCTGGTTTGCTGCCATTGATTGCTTCCGTAGATCGTCCTTGGCCGGGTTTGAACTTTTCTTCAGTATGTCCTGATTATAGCACTTTTTTACGTAGGACTACGTCTGTGTTTTCTATATGGGGGTACACTTTGTGAAAACCGAAAATGGAATATGTAACAAAATTATGAAAGATTTAGAACGTTAATAACTCAGCTGCCCCTAGACCAATTTCAAAAAAAAAAATATCGCCAATCGATCAGATATATTTCTACGCAACTGTTAAATTTAAGACTTTATCATTTTTCAAAATGTCACTATTGAAAATTGCACGAATGTGGAACTGTGGCTTTGATAATTAAAATTATCACCGATTGCCTGCAAAAAACGATTTTCCTAACACAGATTTCAAAGTTAAATTCCATCCCGGCTCACCGCGTGGTAAGTGGTGGTGTTCTCCAGTACACAACGAAAGGCTCCCCGCTAGCAGCTAACTACCAAGGCTGGCCTCAACAGCTGATCGAAGTCAGTTCAAATCACCGTATGTGGTGGTGTTCGGTCGGCGCGTGGCATTGAACATTGTTCTGCAGTACACAACAAAAAGGCTGCCTGCAATCAGCGAGCTGCAGCCCACATGAGCATCCATAGAAGGAGGAAGAAGCCGCACCGCTATTGATCGGAATCAGTAGCTTTTCGTGAGTCGCTGTGGGTCATTTATGCCAAGCGCATCATAGTAAAAAGTATAAACTGAGAGAACCCCGCTCAAATCCCTATTCCTACACAAAACACAAGCTCCTGCTGCAGTTAACAAAAAGATTTATTATATAAGACCACGTAGTCCTACGTCACAATTGCGTATAGTTTTTTTTTTCTCGTTTTCACGATGTTAAAACCGAGGGGGACGACTTTATCTACGATGCAAAAAAGATTGTGTTTTGCTGTGGCTAGCTGGGCGCACGCTGAGTAGATAGAAAGAAGATTTATGACGATTCTGAAGATTTCCTGCAAAAAATTGATGAGCGGTGCTAGTAGATGCGACAAATGAAAGAAGATTGCTCGAAGATTGATTCGCTAGTGTGAGATTTGTGGACCATCTAAACTTGAGATTTAGATGTGTCGCCCCCCTCGGTTAAAACGACAATAATCTGATCCACATTGCTGGACTGCCAGATTCTCTCGATCAGTGATCGATGTTGTCCAAAACACGACACCAGAACTTTTCACAAACTTTATCAATTTAATGGGTCCACCGCTAAAAATCTTCATTTTCAAAGTATCACACAACCGAAAAAG